TCTTTTAGCAGTAAGATCACATTTGTTCCCAACAAGAAGTTTGTTGACATTTTCTGTGGCATATCGATCAATTTCACTTAGCCATTGTTTGACATTGTTGAAGCTCTCAAGGTCAGTCACATCATATACAACCTATCATAAAAGCAATTTCAAAGAGTTATCAGCTGATTAAGAATGCACACCAAACAGGTACCAAATGTTCTGAAATTATGCAGAACAAGATTGTTTTGCAGGCTGGCACTCACTATTATGCCATGAGCTCCGCGATAGTAGCTGCTAGTAATTGTCCTAAACCGTTCTTGTCCAGCAGTATCCCACTAAACATTGACAAATAACCATTCCAGCAACTTAAATGACATATATAAAAGAATACTAATTTTTTTAAAAAAAGTGTGGGGAAAAAGTGAAATGAATGAAGTCAAGCTGTAGTCCAAAGACAATCTCACAATTTGAAGCTTTAGTGTTTTCCCATCTTGCTCCACAGTGCGGATTTTCTGAAAGAAATTTAAAAAAAAACAGAAAATATTACCCTTTACTTGCCTTCTTTATTTTGATCTTCACCCATCCCTTCCCTGCCCTCCTTGGGTAAATGTGATGGGACATGGGATAAAAATTGATACACTATAACTCTATAAGAAATAATGGTATGGCTTATGGAATGACTGTTATTACAAATACAAAACTTACTTACAAAGTCAACTCCAATGGTGCTTACATAGCTCTCCACATAACTGTCGTCCTAACAGAATAATGAATCCGCAATGATGTAAGACTTTTCTTAGAATATCATTCATCAAAATGACAGGAAAATTAGCAAATAAGAAAATAAAATGAAAAAAGGCATCAAGTCTACTTAAAACTTCGGCAAGAATTTAATCTTCGACTCAATCCAGCAGGCATTAGTAAACAGTAGGGCTGTTCATCGGTCCAGAACCGGACCGGACCGAACCGGACCTATTACTTGTCGGGTTCAGACCGAACCGGACCGATATTAATTGGACCGAACCGATTTGGACCGAGAAGACCAAATTGAGAATGTAAATAGAAAAAGCAGGCCACAAATAGCCAAAACAACTGAAAATCCTGCAAATAACATTTCTATTCAAAAAAAATTCATAATAACAATAAAAAGTACCCTAAAGTAAGGTGTAGGGTACTGAATAATGCAAATTTGCAATGGACAGTGGTCTAGCAGTGATTGATAATTTGAAAACTTGAAATTAAAAATAAAAAAATCAGTAAATCACCGATGGTAATGCAATCCTCATCTGAAGTCGGCTAGAGTGCGGGACTTAATACATCCAAAATACATATCAAAAATAAAGGTGTCGGCGGGAGTGGTTTCTGCTTCGCTGTTGGCCGGAATCACTGCACCACCGGCGTTAAATTAACAAGACGATGGATGTTAGAATTGGGGTGAGGCTAGGGTTCAAGACTTAGTGTCGGAACCACCTCCATCATCCTCGAACTCTCCTTTCGGATAAAATATTAGCTCTTCCCCTTCTGATTTCATGCTCTCTTGCGTTGAAGAAGAAAGAGAAGAGAATGAATGGATAACAAATGAATGGCTGAAGGGATAACAAATGAATGGTTTAGGTAAGAGGGTGAGATTTCTACTTGGAGGGATAAGTGGATAACACATACGGAGTAACTGACATAATTAAGTAGTCGGTCCATTCGGTCCAGACCGAAATAATATCGGGTTTGGACCGGACCGGACCGAAACCCGAAAACTCAAATAATCAAGACCGAAGGCCGACCCGAAATCTAATCGGTCCGGGTTCGGTCTGGACCTAACGGTCCGGGTCAGTCGGTTTTTTCGGTCTGGACCTAAACATGAACAGCCCTAGTAAACAGAGACTAAAAAAAGCAATCCACCAGTATACTACGCAAGAGTACATATAATGTCAACTTACAGAAAATCTCAAAAGGAGGCATGATTTACCAACACCAGAATCTCCTATGAGCAAAAGTTTGAACAAGTAGTCACTACAAAGAGAATCAGAAGCAACGAGTAAGCAGGGCCATAAACTTACAAATGACAAACAGTACTAATGTTTACTTAGAAGGCCTAGATCACTTTTTAATGAACCAGAAAGGTAATGTAGTACATACCATGCAATTTTTACTTCAAAGTAGAATGCATTTCATTTTAAAAAATACTCCCTCCGTCCCTCATAGATCTTCTCAATAGCTATTTTTCTTTGTCCACAATAGATCTTCTCATTTCATTTTTTAACAATTAAAATACCACAACTACCCCCTCTTACTTTATTTATTACACCTCACCCACCTTATTTAATACACTCCACCCATTTTTCATTAAGGGTATTATGGTAAACTTTCACCTTTTTTCAACTCTCCTTAAAAACCACCAAAAGTCAAAATGAGAACATCTTAGGGGGACGGAGGGAGTACATTTTTAAAACAGTTATGTTACGATGAATATTGAATCCCATTTGACTTTCGAAAAACACATATAGTCATCTCTAGATAGAGGCAGTTGTAAGACTATTGGACAGAAACACCTGAACGGTTATTTCAGCAGAAAATCTCACACATATACAAAATTATGCTCCACTACATAGAAAGATGATCTAATTAAAATTAAGGGCCCGTTTGGTACACGGAATTGATGAAATTGGAATTGAATTGAGAGTTGAAATTCTATGGAATTGATTTGGATGGAATTGAATTCGTCAATTCCAATTCATTTTTGGCACTACAAATTCCAAAACCACATTTTTGTGCTACCAAACAGCAGAATTGGAATTGTTGTCCCCAATTCCAATTCCATAGTTTGAATTCCGTGTACCAAATGGAGCCTAAGATTTTAGAGATTGTTACAAAGATTCGTATCTAGGCCTTCAATTACTGGCAAAAGAAGGACTTAATATATACCCACACATTTCAAAAGGAAATAGGGATTCGATGCTAGCCCTTGATTCACGAGTTTAATGAACAGCAAGTCAGAAACATATAAAACCATTAATTGCATTCAAGTGCCAATACACAACTAAACACATCCATAGAGCATCTAAACGGTGGGATGACTGAAAACCTGTTTGAGGCTTTCTAAATTTCCCTTATACCTAAGCAAGTTTCCATGTAATTGAACAACTGCCAAAACTTCAGCCATAATCTGAACTACATCCATGATTAACATTCTCTTTCATTACATATATGAACAAGCACACATATATATGGAGAATCATGGATCATAAAGAAGGTAAAAAGGATCAGATCCAATAAAAAATTGACAGTATGAGGAAGCTTTTCATCTGAAAAATAAATAATATAATACAAAGAATAAACAAGCGTGTTAATTCCAGCCAATATCAAACAAAACAGAAAAAAAGCAATAAACAAATAAATGCGCAGTAAAACCAAATGATAGTAAAAGATTGAGATGAAACGGGAGCATACTACTCAGGATTCATGGAGACGAAGGCGAAAGGTTAGATGGAATCTGAGAGATGCGCCGCCGTGAATTGGCCGGAATCTGAATCTTCGCGGGAGAAATTTTGGATGGAAATGAGATTTGAGCCAGAGAGAGAGAGAGAGACCGGAGACGTGAAAGCATTGAAAAAGTAGTTTTCGTTTGGTTTGTAGTTATCATGTCAAATTTCGTTTTCGTTTTTTGTCCCCAAGGTTAGGGTAATAGCACTTTAAGCGCTAATTTTAAATATTGTCACACATTTGGCCATATATTTACTACTATTTCGTCAATTCCTCACACTCCTCGAGAACAATCCCCTCACACCACTTTTTAGCACAAAATTTGACACCAATATAATATGTAAGCCTAAATATAGTCATGTGTGATCTTGTTTGATTTGTCTTAACATATAGACTATTAATATATAATTTTTTAATATACAAATTACAAGATAAAATGGATTAAAGAAGTGCATTGGATAGTGTGCAAAAATAAAAGTGGACAAATACAGGGGGACAGAGGGAGTATCTTACACATATTCGTTGATAATTTTGCATGGGTCATGCTGATCTGTTCCCAAATGATTGCTACTATGGATTTACCCAAGTTTTGCACAGCCGGCACAGACGATAATCATCTGTGCAAAGCTTGGGCGCACACGTGATAATAATAATTTGAGGGTGCCCTAGCTTTTTCCATTTTGCATTACGTGTGAGATATACTACTTTCGTTTCAAAATAATTTTCTTGTTTTCTTTTTCAAATCGTCCCAAAATAAGCTTCTTGTTTTTTCCTTAAAAAAGCTTCATGTTTCTTCTTTTTTGAAATTTTTTTTTGTGGTTCGCCATCTTTCTTTTTCTTTCGTATCATTTTCAACAGAGCAAGGTTCCCATGAAATTTGACTCCAAAGTCAAAATCAATTTGTGGGGTGCAATTGAATGGGGTGGGGTGTGTGTTTGGGCCGGGGTGGAGTGGAGGGTTTACCGGGGGGTTAGGGGGTAGGAACCGTCAATTTTACGAACGGGGCACCGGAGCGCCCCCGGGTCATCTCATGAAATTGATTCCCAATGTCATGGGAACCTTGGTGTTTTCAACAATCCAATTTTATTTCTTTGAAATTTGTGTCAAATCAATCAAAATATTAACTTGGGAGGAAGGGAGTATATGTTATTGTCAAAATGATGCACCCCTAGCATTTTTGTATTCCTTGCCTAGTGGAGCTATATGTTTTTAAACAACAATATTCAGTGTTATAATATAATAACAAGTCATATACAAAAATATTTAATGTTCCATTAGATTCATTATTAGTTCCTATCTCTCCAAACCTATCACATAAACTTCTTGCCCCCATCTAGCCCGCGTTGCATGTCGTAGTTATGCTAACATTTTAAAACTTGATGAAACGATAAAGATAGAGAAAAGTCATGAGATTTTCGAGGTAAGCTAGGACTCTTAGAAGATGAATTTGGTCGTAAGTTTAATAAAGTGTCACTCGCTCGAATATCATATTATAACATCAAAACTCAGTGTCAAAAGGACTGAGGTGCATAAGAGTGTGTATTGGTCCAAAGCTAAATTTGGACCGAAAATGAATCGCTTATAAAATATTATTATTTTATTGCTCTAATTAATAAAAGTTTTCAATTGCACAATTGTACAATCATTAACTTTTTGTAATGTAGATATATACTAAAAGTGGAATTTGTACTAAATAGCACTAAAACAAATGTTCTTTTCCAATGTAGATCTTAAACTTTTTAATTACCTAAATAGTCCTTGAATAATGTCTAGTGACAAAGACAATATATTGTGATAGTATACATTTAGTTTGAACAATGTCAAGTGGATGTGACCAGTAGACATTAAACAAAGTTACCACATTAGAAATAAAAACATATGGTACTACATTGTGAAAATTACTATGCTTTAATACGGAGTACTATTTAGGTAAATTCCTCATACTGAAAATTATACTCCATCCGTTCTCAAAAACTCTTCCTTTTTCATTTTTTTTACTTCCACCAAAACACTTTCACTTTCTATTAAAAAACCATTTTTACCCTTACTTTTTCATACCCTACCTATCATATCATATTTTTTCTCTAAAACTCAATCCATCACATCTTACTTTTACCCATCACATCAAGAGCAAAATTAGAAGTCAACTACTCCCTCCGTCCTATAATGATCTTCCCGGTTCGCAAAACGAAGAAAAATCCCAAGTTTTTTCAATCTATTTTATTTAAATATTGGTATAGAAATAAAAAATAAAACATACATATTTAAAAACTACACCAAAACTTCAACAAAACAAGTGGTGTCAAGAATATTTTATTTTATCATATACGCCATGAAAAAACACAAATAAATATAAATTCTCGTGAAGTTGGAATAGTGCTCTGGGAAGATCATTATAGGACGGAGGGAGTACAATTTAACACTTCTTTATTTTTACACAAAGTCAAAATAGGAACACTTTTATAGAACGGATGGAGTATATTTTAATTTTTTTTGAACAAATAAAAGAAAATATATACTCCTTTCTCTGTTTCTCCCATAAAAATTTACAATTTGATTTTACGAAGTTTCAAGGATATTGGAAGGTGAAATACTTCGTCTATAGAATAGAATCTTATTTAGAAGAGAAAATTTTAAGCCACACGCCCCTTTTGTTAAAGGAAAAAAAATGTAAAATGTGTTTCTTTGCTATATCGAAATAAAAAGGTATGAGGTTACGTGTGTTCAGTCGAAGTACAAATATTACGGTGAAGAACATCTATAACTAAAATTAAGATATTTTGCAGTACTTTTCGTTATAAAATGATACTCGTATTTTTGTATACTTTTCATACTCCTTCCTTCCCTAAATATTTATCACATTTCATAAAACGAAGTAAAATATTAAATTTTTTTAATTCATTTTATTTAATTTTTGGTATAGAAATGAAAAATAATATTTACATATTTAAAAACTACATGAAAAATTTTTCAAAATAATAGATGTCAAAAATATATGTTATTTTATTAAATAATCAATGAAAACGTACAAACAAACAAAAGTTCTCATGATTGTTGAAAAAAAAAATGTGATAAACATTTTGGGACGGAAGAAGTAATAAAATCTTAGATGCGTGAGAGTTGACATCTTATTTTAAATTGGACTATTTCTAAAAAATTATGATGAGAAAAAATAAATAAAATTAATGTACGGAGTTACATTAATGTAAAAAATATTATTTCTTTGCTTGAACGGAAGAGAAAATAATATAAAAAACACGATAGGAAAGAAAATATAGGGGAAAAAAATTAATGTTTGAATTTGATAGAAATTTATACGGAGTAAAAAACGATGAAAAAAAATTAATGTTTTAAATATGTAAGTTTTATTTTTTATATTTACATACTAATCTTTAAATAAAATAAATTAAAAAAACTTGAAGTTTTTCATCGTTTTACATAAAGAATAAATGATTTAGGGACAGAGGGAGTAAATGATTCTTAACAACAAGGGAACCAGGCAACTCATGTTGTAATGTTGGATGATCTTTTGGTCAATTCCCTGTTTTGGAGTGTCCATTTAAGAAGTAACCCCCACTCAGGGTCCGTTTGATATACGAAATTGATGAAATTGGAATTGAATTGGAATTTAAATTCTATGGGATTCAGGGGCTGTTTGGCAACTTCTGAATGGGTAAGTGCTGAACCAGTAAGAGGTCTGAATTATTAAGTGCTGAACCAGTAAGAGGTCTGAACCATTAAGAGCTAGTATATTGCTTAACTATTCAGAGGCAAATGTCTGATCAATTCAGATAACAGCTCTTAACCATTCAGACTCTGTATAATACTTAACCATTCAGAGGCAAATCTCTTAACCATTCAGACATCTGAACCATTAAGAGGCTGAAACAAACAGTCTGAACCATTAAGTGCTGAATCATTCAGACATCTGAACCATTAAGAGGCTGAAACAAACAGCCCCTCAATTCCATAGAATTGAATTCTGCCAATTCCAATTCATTTTTTGCACTATCAATTCCAAATCCACATAATTTTTGTGATACCAAACACTAAAATTTGAATTGAAGCCCTCAATTCTAATTCCATGGTTTAAATTCCGTGTACCAAACGGGGCCTAAGGGTCTGTTTGGTACAAGGAATTGACGAAATTGGAATTGAATTGGAAATTGAAATTCTATGGAATTGATTTGGATGGAATTGAATTCTTCAATTCCAATTCAATTTATTCACTACCAATTCCAAATCCAAACATTTTTTTGCTACCAAACACCAGAATTGGAATTATTGTCCCCAATTTCAGTTTCATAGTTTGAATCCGTGTACCAAACGGAGCCTAAAAGAAATTGCCCTTTGAACACTTATGGAGAGAAATTGAGAAGAGCCCATCTTGAATTGGTTCAAGAAACCACAAAGAGGACAGTAAATATACATACAAACAGGAAGTTAAAAGAAGAAGAAGAAGAAGAAAAAGAAGAAGAGAGAAGTGTTTATTTACATGGGAGGATGAGGAGGATTAATGGTGAGTCCACCTTCTCTTCATTTCAGACTTCCACCTGACTTCCTTGAGCTTCCCATCAGTTCCATAGTCCCTTTCCATGACCAGATTTATTCCCTCATCCGAATACCACCCGACTCCAATGCACAAAACTCCATCCTTTTTCACGTCGACATAACTGGTGACACCACCAGGCAGCCATAGCACCGTCGCGTCTTGCATGTCTAACATCTCCTCTTCCCTGAAGTACACCGGACTTTCCCCCAAACTTCTCCTCTTTAGATTTTCAGTGCAGAGGTATACGTACGGCACCGCTGCATCATCCTTCTCCTCCCCGTGAACGGGTGTTGCGCTCATCTCAAACACCTTCCATGACCCGGTTAGCTCCCCCGGTTGAACTCTCCTCCTCTGTGAAAATGGCTTCACCTCCATATCCATGTCACTGTTGATGACTCATGGATTATTAGTACTATTTGTTGTTGTATGTACTCCTTCCGTCCCACAAAGATTTTCCCACTTTAATTTGTCCATCCCTGAATTATCTCAACACTTTTTTTCTTTCCCTTTTTTGGAAAAGAATAACATCATGTTTGGTTCGTGGACAACAACAACAACCCAGTTGAATCCCACTACAGTAGGGTCTGGGGAGGGTGTGTGTACGCAAACCTTGCCCCTACTCGGAAGTAGAGGCAAGGAAAAAGGGAGATTTTCTCTCCTTTTCCTCGCCAAATGGAAGGAAAATCAATTTTCTTCTTCTTAGTGCATTTTCTTCTCGCATTTTCAATTCCTTCCACTTTTCTATTCTTTTCCTCTCTAACCAAACAAGAACAATTGTTTTCTCTCTCATTTTCTTTTTTTTCTCTCAAATTCCTAGAACCAAACATAGTGTGAAAGAATCACAATATTTCTCTTCCAAACATATCCTAACAACACATTTTTCATGTTTGTAAACATGAATGTCTATGAGGTCATAGTGGGGTTAGAGGGATCAAATTTTAAAAATCATGTGTTCCTTCACCCTAACACACAATGGGGTTACTCCCAAACCACATCATCGTGCCCGAGTGCATTAAAAAGTGTCCACATGTGCAATGAATCATGGGTCAAATTGAAAAGGAGCAGCAAAGCAACTATTCTGGAAGTTACTGAATAATACCTTAGGCCGGAAATATTGGTGGGACTAACCCATTGTTCTTCGTAAACAGCCACTCTCAATATCTCAATATCTGAGCCCCCATCACTGAATTCTATGGTATGAACCATGCGGAGTCTCTTGTGGCACCCTTTGACCAAACACTACAAAAGATCCCGGAGCCAGTTGCATAGGGCATAATAAATTAATCAAATGAAATACAGAGTATATATATAGGCCTGAAGAGCATATGTATAATACGAGTATATTGAGAGGTTGGTAAAAAGTACTTTTAAGAAAAACTCACTTGTTCAAACTTAAATGTTGGAGACAGGTAATACTTTGATTCGCCATGTTCCCCAACTGGAATATCAACTGGCCCCCTCGAGTAAGATCCATCCTTCAGATTTAAGTAACTTTGATTGGACACGATTTAACGTAATGAAACGGTATCCCAACAACTAAAAGCATGAGCTATTTTAATCTAGGTATCTACACAAGTTTTACACCATACATACGGAAATTTATAAATGTTCTCGGATGATGTCATAGGCGAGAAATGTACATGAGAGAAGAAAAACAGTGTGCTGTATGATGTAAATCTTGCCCCCCTACACCTCAACGTAGTTGGGATAGAAGCTGGTGTACCAAAACAAAGCTCTCCTTTAATCAAAGAACTGAGTTAGCTTTACCTCAAAGAAAACAAGACCGGGTTCCATTCCCATTATGTCCTCCTCCATCACATCACTCTTTGCAAAGTCAAAAGATTCAAATCTTGGCAACTCTTGATGTGAAGAATTTCCTTCTGCTGTCCTCTTCATAGCTAAAGGTCTCTCTCTGTCTGTGGCCTTCTCTTGTTTTCCTCCCAATTCTGGAACTTCACCGTGGGGATTCAAAGACACCCACTTGACTGTCCTCTTGATTTGGGATGTCTGAACGCCCCCAAGTGATGTAGGCAAAGCTTCAACATGAGAAAGGGTGTAACAGTCAAAGAGGTACTCATTCTTGTCTCCCACTTCAATTGGCTCCATTTCTGCAGTCATGGGTGAGAATACTGCTCCCACTCCCTTCCATATGCCACTAACACTGCTTGCAAATGTATTCCATGCTGGACGAATTACAGGTTCCTGGAAAGGTGACAAAATTTGATGTGTATTCAAAAGAGAAACCTAAATTAAAGAATACCAAAACAAGCATCATTGTTTCCTCTTTTCACATTAGGCATTTTTCGAAATGTAGAATATTTAATACTGCATGTTTTCTATTCAGCCATGCTGTGTACACTTTGTCCCACACCGGATTCACATGAAATAATAAACTAAAACTTAAGATCTTTGGTGGCTTTTGCTACCAAGTCGATCTTTCTCGACTGAACCCCAAAGTATCGAAAAGTTTTGAAACACAAGTAAATTGTGCAGAAGGGATAGCTGAATTGAAGCATATAGAGTGATTTACCTGAGTTTGTAACACAGTTTCAATCTCAATTAACATAGCACTGGAGATCATGATCCGGCCATATCCACTCTTGGGAGAAATCTTCCTTATCATTCTCATTTCTTTCCAGCTCCTCTTCTTCTTCTTCCTCGCCATCTTCTCCTTCTCCGCATTTGCCATTTCATTGTCGATGCTCCACACATTATCCTTCCCCTTCCCCTTCCCTTGCACTTTCACACTCTCCCTACGCACAAATTCCCCACTACCAACCCCTCTCTGGATTTCATACTCCCGATTGGAACTGCAGGAAATGCAGGGATAGACGCAAATGGGCTTCCGAACCGAGAATGAAGTCAAAGATGAGGCATGAGAGTACTTCCCCACAAATTGAATCTGGTGCAGTTGGTTAAAGCACTTGGAAGCATCAACGCATGGAGAAAACATCGTTCTTTCTTTACTCTCTGTGTGTAAATGTGATTGGACTATACAATGAATATAAATTGAGGAAATGATGAAAAGAGTGAAAAGCAAAAGGTAAACATAAATGAAAACTATGATTAGAAATTAGAAAATATATTTACACACATAAGGAACAATGAAGGCGTAAGAACTGGCTTGTTCTGAATGTCACTCTATCCGGTGCTTTATTTGGATGAAAATCAATCTAACAAAAATGTTCATGCGAGGAGTGAAAAAACAAAACATACACACTAAAATTCATAAAATGCAGCATGAGAAAAAAAATCGATGTAAATTCATTCTTTTGCAAGGATCAACTTTTCGATTTTCTAAACATAGTACTATACAGGACGCAATTTGAACCTTTCTCAGAACTTGGTCAGGTCATTATTCCTCAAATTGTGTTTTTTCTGTTGACCAGAAAATATTTTTCTATGGCGCAGGAGCTCCAAGGAAGTTCGATTTTTGAACTTGTATAATGATGTTTTAATAAAAATCTTAACTTCATCAAAATGACAAGCTACCTGAACTAAATTTAACTTAATATACATTCTCAAAAAACATAATCAGACTTGATAAATCTAAATCTAATTAGGGTCTGATATTCACATCCTACGACAAAATTAAGAACCAACAAACCTGGAATAAGGTTAAGGATCACAGTCCTCGTTCACCATTATCGTTCGGTGGTAGGTCGTCGCCGATCAGGCCTCCTCCGCCGATCAGTACCGTTTATCCACTTTATTTATGAATACTGGATAAATTTATCTTTAAGGTCAGTTTGCTTGTTCTCTTCCCCTTTTTTAAATGTTTAGGGGCTAGGGAGTATATTTTTAAGGGATAAAGCTATTTGTACCCCATGTTTTGTACCTCACTTTGTACCAGTAACTTTACACCAACATTTTGTGTTTGGTGTAAAACTAATTTTTATTAGTGCACCAACATTTTGTGTCCGTGTAAATTTTTATTAACGCACCAACACTTGTGCCGGTGTAAACCATCAAAATGTTTGTGTATAACTGCGATGTATAAATGTGGTACAATTTGTGGTTTAAGTGTAGCATAACCCATTTTTAAGAAATGGTGTGAATGTAGTCATAATAAAGATTAATTTTCACTCAGGAAGTATATTCATCTCATTAATACTCGTATTATTAAACGCTTCGTATTTAAAAAAGAAAAGTATACCAAACCAATTTTAGAACAGACTTCTTTTACCGAATAATCTGTATTTTAATGGGGTGGACCAATTTAAGAGCACGGGCAATGACAATGCAAAAAATAGAATGTCACACGTTGATGTGGAACATTTCAATAAATAAAAAATAGTCTAGTCATCGTGTGGCGTTAAGGTGGAGTGACATGCATTGCAATGACAAGTCATTATCTCTGTCACTTGTTTACATTTTTATGTATTTAATTATTAAAATTTATTTTATTTATTTTTTTCATAAAAATAATTCTACTTTGTTTATACTCTCTCCGTTCCCAAAATGACGTAGCTACTATTTTAGATTTTTGATAACATTTTTGTGCTTCCTTTTTTCATGGTATATTTAATAAAATAAATTATTCTTATCGCTACTTTTTTGTAAAATTTTGGATATAATTTTTAAATATGATGTAATTTATAATTTTTATTTTCTTACTGATTTGTATATATAAAATTAATTTAAAAAAGATAATATCACATTATTCAAAAGAGAACAAATATTTTGGGATTAAGGGATTAATGCAAAAAAACAAAAAGAAAAAGAAAAAGAAAAAGGAAAAAAGAAAAAATGGCTGCCATTAACTCCACGTGGCTTGCAAGGCGTGTAGTATTTCATTTGCCATGCAAAGCACGGTACAAAGGAAGCTGATGTGGCAGGACAAGACACGGGAAAGTCTCGCCGCTGCTCGTGCTCTAAGTTGGTACATCTAAAGGGTGGTTCTCATACAAATCCTCCCTTGCCCCAGTAAATGTTGGTATAAAATTTTACACAGTGTTTTGTTGAAAGAATTAGAAGGAATCTCATTTTCTTACAAAATAAGAGAAATTTCGTTTCTTTTCTTAGTTCATTTTTCTTACATTTTTCTTTTCTTCCTCTCTAACCAAAGATAAATACGGAGTAATAATTTTCCTATCAACCATTTTTCTTTTCATTTTCTTTTCTATTCCCTTATAAGTTTTTTGAACCAAACATAGTTTTACACAATGTTTGGTTCAAAGAATTCGGATAAAAAAGAAAAGAAAATGATTTTCTCTCATTTTCCTCACTAAAATAGAAGAAATTTTGGTTTCCCTCCTTAGTACATTTTCTCTTCTCATGTTCTTTTCTTTCCACTTCTCTTTCCGTCTCTAACCAAACAAGAAAAAAATTTCTATCTCATTATCTCTTCTTAACCGAACAATAACTTTATGAACTTTTCTCTTGGTTTGGGCGGCAAGAAGCCAAGATTTATGGAGAAGTTCATTCAAATTCAAGCCTCAGCGGAGGCAGATGCATTGGCTCATTGTACGTCATTAGATTAAGAATAATATGAACAAATACTACATTGTAATTGAGTCAAATAACACTCAAGAAAAATAAACAATAACTTTCTTGATAATAAAGATTTGAATTAGTAACTTGCTGAAAAAGAATCCTGATTTATGGGAGTGATTTACCGGCCAGAAGTTAACCTGGAACGCAATCAGAACCAATCCAGTAAGAAAACTGAATAGATTGGATATTGGTTGACTATCTGAACTCCGCAGTATTAAACTTTTGGCAACACGGAAGCACTTTCATAACAAAAAGTTCCAGAGAGTATAACAGTGTCTCAGAAGAAGATTGAAACGCCCATTGTCAAGCATCCCACTGCAACCCAAGGGCTCAAGCGTTCACCTGTCATCCCATATAGTAGTAAGAACACAACCCCAATCAGTGAGTATTTAATATTGGAGGGACTATTAGCATTTCTTCAAATCAGAGAGCATGAACTCCTTGAGCTACTGCTTTCTGGTCATTTGGAAGTTTGACTCCAAAAAATATCAAGTTTGATGAAGCTAACCGGAATATTCACAAGCATATGTGAAGATTTCCTCTCCTACACTTTGTCCATTATGGAAAGGCCAATGATTGGGATTGCCATTTGTATTAAATTGTTTAGGCTTGCCAGCAAACAAATTAAACACAGAAACAAACAGAGATTCTCAGCTTCTGATTCCACAACTATTAGCCCATTCCCATGTTAGGTCTTTAATTTCCTTTTTTGTGTTTTTGTTGCACAAGTATGGATTTTCTTCACACTTCTGGTCGTTTCCGGTTACTAACTTAAAGATAAACCAGAAATTGTATGTGAAGTGGTTGGATGTGTAGTGGAAAAGACCAAATGTGGCAAGGAATTCAGTCATGCACCAAAAGTGGAAACAAGTGAATGTTGACATTTTATTTGTCATTATTACAAATGTAAGAAACAGGGTTGGGGTAATAGTTGCGGGACCTGAAGTGAGAATTCTTCTAACTTGATAAATGCACTCACTTATGTTTTGAGAAATTTTATGTTGACAATTCTTTTAAGAGCGGCACCAGAAAAGAGGTAGAACAATCTTACCTATCCTAGCTGCCTTCCAGAAGAATCCACGAAACCTGTTATATTTCATTTGTCATTAGTACAAATCTAAAAAACATCCTTTATGTTGTCAAGTAGAGGTATCCAGAACCTACTTTTGTGGGATTCTACTGGGTTTGTTGTTGTGGTTGTTGTTGTTGTACAAATCTAAGAAACTGGGTTGGGGTAAAATTGTAGCACATATAAGGGAGATGGGACTTTCGGATACACAAACACAAAGCATATAACAAGAACCTCACAGCTTGACAATCTCGATTATCATTATCAAGAACCTAAATGCAAGAAGGCTTACCCAGTTCGCTGCTCAAGAATTGCTGGAAACTGCATCTTCAGATATGTGCATGCACAGATTCCTAAGAGCACTACTGTGAGAAAAGAATGAAAATTGAACAGGGCAGACTGAAAAGCCAATAAATTGAGAATATCAGTATCTAATTATGACTGAAGGGATAATTTAACTACGAGGAATGCTAGGGGTACCCCATTTTGTACACCATGCATCCTAGCTCTTCATTTATTTTTTTATTTTTAATTTTTTCTCTCTCTTGCTTTGTGTGGTGGAGATGGAGGGGGGTACAAATGGGGTACCCCAAATGGTGTACCCCTAGCATTTTTGTTTAACTACATATCATCAGACTCTTCTTACCATATTTCACTTTCTCGTGCTAGTTATCCAGTTTTCCTCCACCTGAAAACAAAAATAAGCACCCATTAGTTTAATCTCCATTCAAGAACACTAAAACGAAAAGAATAAGAATGCCAAAGAACCAACAAAACCAAAAGGTCAAACTTGTGGTTGTAGGCCCGGGAAAGGTCTTATACTTTAACACACCCTCTCGTGTGCATGTAATTTTTTTTGGCTTGAGCCCACGTTAACATATATCAAAACAAGGCTACGATACCATATCAATTGTCAAGAAACCAATTCAACCAAAAGCTTAATCTTTTGGTTATAGGCTCAAGAAAGATTTAAACTGTGCAAATCAGTCATTATCAGGCACCTAACTTATGTAATCATGCGGTGTAACATTTAAATTATCCCAAAAACATCCATGAAAATGTTGTGAACCAATCATTGAATGCACTTCCCTTATTTAATTCCATTTCTATAATATTATCACAGCCAAAGGTGTTAATAACAAACGGTTTGTGAAGCATATCACATGATTTGATACAAGTCTAGATGTCACTTACTCATTCCCTCCTATAACTAAAGTCACAAAACGGATTGTGATATTTGACTCCACTCATTCTCAATTCAATTAGTTTAAAAAATGGTATAAAATTTTAAAATTGAATTTATATTAGGTATACTCAAAAACTACTATCAAATGCTCTATAAAACAGACATGATCATGTTATTTGAACGGATGACTAATGAAACTAAATAAATGGAAAGTAATCGGTAGAAATTGATTCCATAATACATCCTTTGGATGAATTTAATTTAGCGTTTTGCTATTTCTTCAAATTGGAGTGACCAAAAAATCTAACCTAAGGCATGAGAAATTAGAAAGGAGAGAGAAAAAAAGAAACAAATCTTACCTGTAGATCAGCGTGCGTCGATCGAGGATGAGCTGAGCTGGGCTGGGATGGATCGACGGCCACCGCTCGGCGCGAGGGGAGACGAAGTGAGCCTGCAGAGCGTAGACAGGTCGAGACTCGAGACTCGAGATCAAGTTGAGAAAAAAGGAATTTTAAGATTTTTTAAATTGTTTTATAACTTTATATATAATTTGATACATCAATAAGAAATACTCCCTCCGTCTTAGGATATTCGTCCAGTTTTGACTTTTGAAACTGTTCATCTAAGCACTTTGACTCATCAAATTCTCTTAATGTGTAAGCCTAAATATAGTCATGTGTGATCTTGTTTGATTTGTCTTAACATATAGATTATTAATATATAATTTCTATAATTTTTTAATATATAAATTACAAGATAAAATGGATTAAAGAAGTATATTGGATGGTGTGCAAAAATGAAATTGGACAAATACTCTGGGACGGAGTTAGTAAAAATTATACATTAAAAAACTACTTTTAGAGTTTTAAAAAATAAGAAATGACAAAAATATATTGAAAATTTTGCTCCATATAAGACTAAAAGATACGGAGTAATATGTTTCTTTGAATAAGACTAAATATATTTTATTCTCTGTGTAACACATGATTCTATATAATCTATCATATATCGCTCATTAGTGAAAAGTATTGAATAATGACTACTCATTATACGAATGACTCTACGAATGCGGGCATTAACAAAAAACATTGGATAATGACTGATTATTTCAATGACTATTTAATTTTTTTTAATAATGTCTTATTCTATTTGAATTATATAATTGGTCATTTTTCTCAAAGACATTTCATTCCATTGTACTTGGTGCTTTATGTGTATTATAATGTGATTCTTATCATATTTTTTTGTGCAGTTGGAGTCGGGGGTCTCTTGGAAACAACCTCCCTACTTTCGACTGCGTACACACACCTTCCCAAGACCCTACTCCTTCCCCAGACCCTACTGTAGTGGGATTCAACTGGGTTGTTGTTGTTGTTGTTTTCTCAAAGGCATATCATTTTGGAACTTTCCATTGCCAAACATTATACCGAGTAGTAGATAGGAATGGTCCTATTTAGGGAAAACTGATATGTTTAAGTCATGTTTACATAAATTTTCAAATATGTTATTTTATCAAATAATTAATGAAAATACGCAAATAAACAAAAGTTATTGAGAGGATAGAAAAAATAAAATTGTAATCAAAATATGGACGGAGAAAATTTATTTAGTGGTATTATCAATTTTCCAGTAAGTTGGGCCTGGAGAACCAAAACCCTAAAAACTAAATACCCGAAAATCGCAAACTGAACTAGTGGCAGTTCCAAAAACTGAACTGAACTAGGTAGATGAGGTAGAATTGGTCGGCGGTCCAGGGGCAGCGTTTCCAGATTTTTTTAAATAGACTAAATGAAATGACACAAAATATTAAATTTTATTTTGAATATTTATTGTATGTAAAACGTTTATTAATAGGTAAGTAACATATTTTGTATAAATAAATAATTATGTTTAATAAAATACATTTTACTAAAAAATTGAACACAACAATTAAATTTAACCTAATTAAATTGGGTCACATTAATTTTTGTTGGATGCATATATAGAACAAATTTCAAATTTTATTTACCTCATTACAAAAAAATTAGCAAGGGCACATCCCCCAACTACATCAATATGCATCTACCCCTGAACCGAATTGAAACCGATCGAAAATAGTTATAAAAAAAATTTAAACTGAAAAAACCAAAATCAAATGTAAAAAACCAAGTTGAACCGATATTGTTTGATTTTCGTTTTGATTTTCACTTTGGAAAACCAAACATAACCAAATAAAACAAACTTTCTTAGGTACTTCGCTTTATATATGTATACAAATATATGTGATATGCAAAATCTTTCTAAGGCTTTGGGAGTATTTGGAATCTCCTAGTTGTTTATTGGGTTCTCGGCACATTTTAACCTTAAATTGAACCGAACTCTAACATTCCGTTCGGTTTTTGGCTTTGTATAAAAATCGAACTAAAAAAACTGAATCCAACCATACATAGTGTTATTGCTTCATCGAGTTAGTGTTGTTATAACATTTTTTAATGCTTATATTTTTTTTAAAACCAAAACAAATTGAAATAATAACTGCATAAAACCAAACCGAATAACCAATGGTATACATATTTTTTGTATGAAATTGAACCGAATCAAACCGCCAACTTATCTTCCATTTTGTTTCTAGTTTTAGGTGAAAACTAAACCGTCAAAACCTAACCCATTCTTGACCCCTATTTTATTGTAAGAACTCTGCGTTCTCACATTATTTAAAGTATACTCCGGGTATCTTTAAAATTAGTGTAATGTACTCTGAAAGTATATTGCGTCTATTTGATCATTATGATCGAAAGTTTTGTTACTTTGATAAATACAAAGTATTATCTTGATAGTCATTATTTTGGATACCCAAAGGCAAAACGGGGTGCTATTTAAAAGGGGGTGTACAAAATCCGTGTAAAATTGAAATTTCGGATCTAAACAATTAATTCTGGTCTAGATTAGTAAAAATCTGGACTAATTCTCGGTCTTAGAATTGAGGACCCCTGGTTAGACCTGTAAGACCGAAATGTGTTTTTGTTCTTTTATTTTTTTCTTTTTTAATACCACTATAATTTGGAGCTTAAATTCTAAGATACTTTATATGCAACATATTCTTGATAATATAGAAATGTAATCCATATTAAAGTTCAACTTTATTAATACTTTGTGAAACTTGACAAACTAACGAAACAATATTAAAAGAATTTAAACGTATTATATGTTGACAAATGTTTGTATATTGATATTATTTCTTGAAACACAATCAAGAATAGAAAAAAAGTAATGTTGAGTTAAGCTAGGTAGTAAAAAATGTATTAATATAATTGATTTCAATTTTTCGATTTTCTCAATTTTATTTCAGCCTGGTTTGGTTTTGAATCGTTACTTTGTTCACCCCTACATTCAAAACTTTCAAGCTTTCTAATTTTGATTTTTTGCAGCCAATACCGATTGACCTTTAACATACTCCGTATAAGGCTATGATTAAGGAAAAATTGTATTTTATAATTTGATAAAATAATGTTTTAAGAAAATTTTGTAAGTTTAATCTAAAAAAATTATTCTTGTATCTATATTAATATAATCTTTTTATATATTTAATGAACAAATTTTATCAATTTTTTCTATAAGAAATTAAAGAATAAATTTCATAATTGGTCCTTTATAACATTTGGGTTTCCATATTTAGTCCTTTATTATCAAATATTACCCCCGTAATCCTTTTTTAAGGGTACCTTTCCACAAATGGTCCTTTTTTGATCTTCTGTCGTGTTGGTGTTAATTTAAAGGCTAAAAGTATAATTTGACATCAACATTATGTCTAATGACGTGTTCTGATATTGGTTAAGCGGATAATACAAAAATAATGGCTATGATTGTGAGCTAGGATTCTGACGAAAGATCACATTTGTAGACTATCGTTGTCGTAAAAAGTGACTGTAGTCACAAACGAGGCAAACGGAACAGCCTTTGTAATTGTGTATGACAAAAAAGATAGATTATCATTGTGAAATTATACTTTTAGCCCTCAAATTAACACCAACATGATAGAAGATAAAAAAAGACTATTTGTGGAAAGGTACAAATAAAAAAAAGACCACTACGATAATATTTGATGATAGCAGACTAAATAGGGAAACTCCTCTGTTATAAAAGACTAATTATAGAATTTACTCAAAATTAAAATTAAACAAAGAATCTGCAATCAATGTAGTAATACCGGGTACAACAAAACAACACCATACTTCTCAAGTCTCAAGACATGTGTGTGGGCCGTGTATGTATATTCCTAACAACACCATACTTTTCATAGTGCATTAAGATGTTTGAATGTATTTATTTTCAAATATTTTTATATAAAAATTTTATGAAATTAAAAAATAAAAATTACATATTTAAAAACTAAATGCAAAGATCTACAAAAATAGAGGTGACATTATTATATTATGGAGAAATTTACTTAAATATCACTTAAGCATAATGACTTTCTCTAAATAGTGTCATACTCCTTCCGTCCCACAAAAAAGTTTCCATTTTGAATAGTATTTAGTCAAATATTCATACGTTTTGACTACAAATTGTAAGAAAGGTATATTGAATTATAAAATAAATTTAATATAATTGGATTCATCTTAGGATCTAGTTTTGATATCTCAAATTTTTTTAGCATTTCTTTATTTAGATTATATTTAATTTATGGTCAAAGCGTGTAACTTTTTGACCAATTTATGGTCAAAATGAGAATTTTTGTGGGACGGAGGGAGTATGTAATTTTTTTCCAATGTAGCACTTTTAGTCATTATCTATTAGTCATTATTCAAGTAAATGTTTGCATTCATTGGACATTATTACTCCTTCTAGACATTATTAAGTGTTATTTAGAGAATAAACATTTTAAGTACTATTTAAAGAAATGACTTAAGTTTTAGTGCTATTTAATGTAAATATTTCTATATTATTTTATCAAATGAGTAACAAAAATATGTCAATAAAATTATTAAAATTTGACTCAGTGAATAATAAATAAGAATATTATTCTTGACTCAAGAGGTAATAGTGAGTGAAGAGAGCATTATATAAATACCGAGTATATAGGAAGTGCGGTGTTGCATCATGCAGGTAGTTAGCCAGACCAAAAGATACCCCGGCTCGGATATAATCTGCATTTATTTTTTTTCGTTGTTTGATTTGATTTATTCCCTATTTTCTGAATGGTATTTTATTTTATTCCTTACGTCTCAAAATGAATTACATTCTTTAAATAAAGTAAATAATCTTAATTCTTTAAAAAAATAGTGTAAAAATAAAAATACAACTTACGTATTAAAACGAATGGTGACTATAATAATTATCCTTGAACGTAACGGTAAAATATTTTACAAAATAGAGTGAAAAAAATATTTTCTTTTATGAAATTATGAATATACTCCCTCCGTACTAAAACCACTTGCATATAAAATCGAAATTCATTATTCTAACTCAATACTTGAAATTGATAGGCAAGACTTCACTTTTTAATACTCCGTATATGCTAATGATATTATTTTTTATT